CAGGGGCCTCCACCCTCCTGACATGTAGGCTGAGACAGTTGGACGTAAGAACACAAAGACGGGCTTAGTGCTTAGCTAAGGCCTTGGCAGCTTGCAGATTCCACATCTTAGGCCTTTGTGGATGAGCATGGTCTTCAGCCCCTCTTGTAAAGCAGCATTATAGCCTGTCACACCTCTAACAGCGATGCCTTTTTTGGCCATGGTGGTGGGTGATGGGGGTAGCCTAATCTTGAATGCATACATATGTGGTGTGGTGGCAGCAGGGAAATAAAAAACCAGAGGAAGACACCTCTGTATCCTCTCATCCTGAAGGTGAAACCTCCACCCCACTGAAACTCTCCACTGCATCTCTGTTGTCCTCTGGGTGCACTTTGCCCTCTTCTGCCTGGCACAGGCTTGTCCCTGTATGTCTCCCAACCTCTTGTCTGCACGTCTGCCCATCCTGCCTGCAGGTCCTGGAATGCCTGTGTGCCATCCCACCCCTTTGCACATGCTGTTCCCTTTGTCTAGAACTCCTTTCTGCCTCCTCTGGCTAAGCCCTTTTCATCTGTCACGTCTTAGCTCGGGCATTATCTTTCCCCCCGGCAGCCTTTTCTAGTCTCTGCGTGGGGCAGAGGCAACTCTGGGCTCCCCCAGCTCCCGTGTATCTCTCAGGTTCATAGTGTCCTTGCTTTTGTCCATGCCCACCTTCCCCACAGACCCAGGATGCCACCCTCTTCTGGTTATGAGTGCTCAATGCCTTGTTCCTGCCACCGCCCCCCCCCCAAGGCTGTGCCTCCTCATGCTGCCTGCAAATCTCTCTGAGCCCTTTCCCACCAGCCCCCACCCCCCACTCCTGTGTCCCTAGCTTCTCGGCCGAATCGGAACTAGAGAAGGAGCAGTGGCTGGAGGCCATGCAGGGAGCCATTGCCGAGGCCCTGTCTACCTTGGAGGTGGCCGAGCGCATCTGGGCTGTGGCCCCCAACAGGTTCTGTGCCGACTGCGGGGCTGCCCAGCCTGACTGGGCCTCCATCAACCTCTGTGTCGTCATCTGCAAGCGCTGTGCAGGTGTGTGGGGCTGGGGCACCAGGCTGAAGCATGACAGGGCTGGTGTGTTGGGATGGTAGGTGGCCCGTCTGGCTAGAGGGGCTGGACCCAAGACGGTAATCAGATCGTTGTTGATGAAGTTGTACCTGTATGCCAGGCCTTTCCCACTGTGATTAGCCCTCAGTCCTGAGATTGTAAAGCAGGGGTTAACTGCTCATGCCATGGGTAAGGACACTGAAGCACAGAGAGGGGAAATGGCTTGTTCAGGGTGGCCTGTCAAGTAAGTGTGGATTTGAGCCCAGGCCTGTTGGGGTCCAGCACCCTGTCACATCAGAGGAGTGGAAAGAAGTGAGACAGGAAGAGCTGGCAGGGCATTGCAGGCAGTGGGAGGAGCTAGTGTTTCATCTGGAGGTGATGGGAGGCAGGAGTGGGAGGGAAATGGTCAGATTTGTGCCTCAGACTCTGGCTGGGGGGTGGAATCCGAGTTGGAAAGGTGAGACTGGAGACCAGCGGGGAGGCTGTTAATGGATCCATTAGAGAGAAGAACAGGCTAAGGGCTGGTCTGTGGAAGTGATGGAGAGCGCTTGAGAGATGTGCAGGATCTGCAGTGTAAAGGTCTCAGGGACAGATCAGATGAGGAGGGTGAGAAAGAAAGACTGGAGCCTAAGATTGATTCATCTACTGAACCGGCATTTATTGGGGGTCTCTGGTATGCCAGACACTGTGAGGTATTGGGGATTTGGCTCTCCTGGGAGCTGATGGTGCCCAGGTGGCAGCTTTGGGCAGCTTGAGATGGGGATCTGGGGTGCGGGGGACAGTTCTGGGGAAGGCCCTGAGCTCAGTAAGAAGCCCTGAAGCCTGTGGGACATCTAGGGCTAAGGTCCAGGAGGCCTTGGGCTGTGAGGTCTGGGTGCAGGAAAGAAATGACTCGATTTAGAAAGGTGTCAGCTCACGGAGGCATATGGGTGACTGGAGTGGAAGAGGTGCTCCATGAGAGGTTGCAGAGGGCGTGAGGCTGAAGCCAGAACCAGGCAGTGCTAGGCACTCCTAGAGCCCCAGCCTCCTCCCTACCCCGGGGTCCTTTGTGGGACCTATAGCTGAGCAAGGCTGCATTCCCTCCAGCCCCAACTCCCCCTGCCCTCTCATTCCACAGAGATTTACTAAGTGCTCACTATGTGCTAGACTTTATTCCAGGCACGGAGGCTAGACCCTAAAGCTGACAGTCAAGGTTCCTGCTCTCAAGCAGCTTACATTCTGTTGGGGAGAGGCAGAAAATACATATATGAACCAATAAAAACATCAGGTAATAAAGTGCTAGGCAGATAATGTGTCTGTCAGGAAGCCCTCTCTGAAGAGATGACATGTCAGCTGAGATCTGGATGGGAGGAGGGAGCAGACCCTGGGGAGATGGGGGAAGAGAATCCAAGCGGAAAGAACTGTGAGGGCAAAGGCCCTGAGGCAGGAATGAGGTTGGTTGATAGGAAGAGGGAAGAGAGTATGGCCCAGGGGGATTGGGGTTGGGGAAAATTCTGAGATGAAGTTGAAGAAGCAGGTAGGGAATTCGTATCTAATTCTGGGGAGCCATTGGAGGGTCTAAAGCAGGGATTTGTTGTAAGGAGATTTGCTTTTTAAAGAGATCACTCTGGGGGCACCTGGCTGGCTCAGTTTGTGTGTGACTCTTGATCTGGGAGGAGGAGGAGGGGGGTGGGAGAGTCATGAGTTCAAGCCCCATGTTGGGCATAGAGCTTACTT